CGATGTTGCTATAACCAAGTTTTACTGTATATGTGGGTATACCTCCAACCACACAGGTTTAATGGCGTGGCGCTTTAGTAAGCACAGGGACAATTTAACCTTAAAATTACCATAGTAGACTCCATTGAGCTGTTTGATTTAGAAGTGACGAAACAAGGAACTGGACAGACGTTGCCTTTCCATTTTTCGTTCGCTTTACACACAGAGAAGAATCCATAATAAGCATAAGTAAATGTGCAACTTATGTTCCAGTTTAGTAAATTTATTTTCCAAATTGTTTCTTGCTTATTTCGTGTGGATATTTATATATTTTAGATATAATTATATAATTAAGAAGCCAGTCACACTACACATGCTCAAAAAATATTTTTCTTTGTATCTCGTTGAATGTTCACCATATTGAAGAATGAAGAAAGCAGTCTTCTGGAATGGGGCACTGTGTAGATATTGTGTTAACCGACGTTTCAGAAGAACGTATCGCCTCCATCTTCAGCACATATTTTGACAGGCAGATGAACTTGTGAACAATGCTTTCATATCTCTCCCCATTATGTGACTCTATACAAAATGATTTTACATTGCCATCATATTCTATGACTCTGTGCATCTCTGCACTTCTCTGTGCAATCTACAATCCACAAAATATTGACCTCCAAGACACAGATGCACAGCGTGCATAAACGTTATTCTTACAGAAATTTACATTATAAATAACATTTTAAAGATAATATTGCAGAAATAATGATTGCCATGTTATATAAATGAATAATAAGATGTGTCTTCAGACATGTAAATGATGTTAAGGAAACTTTGTGGGAGACCAAAATCATACAGAATGACCAGGTGTACTGATATATAAAAGACTTAGAATTATTTTCAACATAAAATATTAGAAAAAATGACCATGTGGAACAGAGAAAAGAGTCAAAGGCACCTACAGAAAGTGAAAATATCCATGGATGTGATGATGACAACAACTTAAGAAACTTCTCATGTTCTCATTATACTGTGGGCCTAATTTCAAATCTAAAGTAAATTCTTACAATTTTAATTTCTGAATGCAGATAGTGTTACATTATAGTATGGGAACATCCCACATACTATCATGCC